ACACCACACACACACACACACATTCACCAGCCAACATTGGAAAGTGCGCCATCGTGCGGCCGATCACAGAGCACCGCGCAACAGGTGGATGGAGGGAGGGACAGGTGGTGGTGGTATGTGTGGGGGGGTGTTGGCATCAAGCACTGTCAGAGAATACAACAAGTACCAGGATGACTTGTAACTTTTAAACACAACAAAGGTTGACTCATACATAGGCCAAGTAAATCTAAGCTATTTCTTCAGAAAGAAAAAACAAAGAACGATCTGGATCTACAACCAATACTTGGAATTATGATCTGACAGTGGTGAAATGTAACAAAGCACACACTATTTTTGAATACGTTTCAAACCAACTCCACTTCATATATCAGCATCTCTACGTTCTACTCCACTACATTTTTACAATACATTTTGTGACATCTTCACATTTTTTTTTTATATCTGTAGTAATCAATAGATATATTTGTACATAGTAATCAATAATGAGAGGGGAATTGGGTTCGGGTAGGTTACATTGGACCAATTTGGAAGTGACCACCACGACTCAGACATAATCATGTAGTTGACTATTTCATTAGGGAAAAAGTTACACTCGGCAAGTACCTTTAATACTTGAGTTATATTAACAGCTAATTATTATTAACATAAGTAGAAAAGTTAATCTGGTACTATTACTTTTACTTGAGAATATTTTTGTCTTTTTAATTGTAAAATATTAGAGTACTTCCTCCACCACAATAATCTGATAATTGTTTTACAAGAGATCTTAAAGGCAGCATGTGCTTTCACAGAGGGGATGAAGAGAGAAGAGTAGATGAGGCCTGATGACTTTATGGCTCTCTTCCAAGCCAGAGTTAAACCTAATCCCTTCTCCCAGCTCAGGTGTAGCTCACTGTTCAATGTTCACAGCAACCAAACTGAGCTTCAGCACAAGAAAAGCTAAATAACAATTAACACGGTTATCAGTTATTGATCTGGTCAAACATTCACTGTATTTCTATTCACTATTACTGTCAGTTGGCCCAGTAGTGGTGACAGTGAAAATAAGTAATTACAACTATAAAAAATAAACATACTAATAAAGGAAAATCTAAAAGAGGGATGTTGAATCAGCATTGTACCATTTATGTATATTAATGTATATATGATAGGTCTGGTGCATAGCTGTGATGTGATCAATAGGTGGCGGTATTTCCCTAGACATCACCCACAGTAAGTGAAGCTGGACTGTGTGTATCTTCCTCCACCACTACAGCTTCCTGTAAAAAAAACTATTCTATTAAGCATCATGGTTATAAACAGGCGTTTGCTGAAATATAAAAACACATTTTTTATTACAGACAGGTCATCACAACACAATAACACAGACAATTTTGAAGATATGGCAAATCTATCTGAACAGTCTGTGTCATTGCATCCCAGACTATTTGTGAATGAAACGCTGCAGGTGTAGTGTTTGTTATTAACTCATATTTATAACAATGTCATCATGAGACATTTGCTTAGAGCTGGGGGATATGACCCAAAATCATATCAAGACAAAAATGGACATATAAGTCGATAAGAAGCAACACTGCATTTACTTCTACTTCTATTATGTGCAATGAAAATACAGTTGAATCGGAATCTACAATCTAAAAACATTGAGCCATAGTTATACATCTCTTGCTTTGTCATACAGATACTGATGGGAATTATATTACTATAATCACTGATGTTGTTTTATCACCCAACTACACGCGTGTCATCGTGTTTTATTTTGAAGATGCTGACAGGATGTGGTGCGGGGCTTCAGTCTGTGTTGACTCAGTGCAGCAGCAGTGATGGAGGACAACATCAGCAGCTAGCATGTCTCCTCCTCTGCAGACTCATGTTGTGTAGTTGATGTGTGAGGATGTGTAGGAGGTTCACACATACAGACACACACACAGAGACCCAAACACACACACACACACACACACACGCTAACAGCCTTTGTTATCAGGTGAGCGGTTAAAACAAGCCCAGTTTAGCTAGCTTTGTTTGTTAGCATCTGGTCTATGGTAACTCACCCAAACAATGACACTGTCTGAAGCTAATGTAAATCAGGCTAATGTCCCAGTGAGGCTTACTTCAGAGAGAGTTTGAATTAGATAAACGTGTTTAAGTATATTTTAGAGATAATGTTAATTTTAGAAAGATTGTGTTTGTTCCTATTCTCACGTGTGACTCATTGATCTCTTGCAGACTCGTCAGATGAGAGTTGAGGTATGTAGCTGCAGTCCTGCTCTCATCATCAGGTCAGTCCTGTGTTAACACAACAAACACACACACACACACATCTACTCACACGAGCAGCAGCAGGAGCAGGACAGACCCAGACTCAGCCTCCATGGCGGCCCCTCCTCGCTTCCCCGGCGGGAAGAGTGTGGATGTTTCCCCGGCTAACTGGAGCGCCCCGGCAGCCATGAGCAGGCCGCTGTGTGTCAACGGGACCCCGTGGATCCTCTACCTGCTGGAGGAGTGTGTGGACAATGTGTGGGAGTACTGCAGCGTGGTGATAGGACTCATATCCATGTTCTGCTTCCTGCTGTCCACTCTACCGTAAGTGATGATGGAGATGTCTGCCATCACAGTGACATGTTAGATCACCAGGTAAAACTAATGATCAACTCCTGTCTCTGTGTGTGGGGGTGTCTGTCTGTCTGCATGTCTGTCTGTTTGTCCGCCTGTGTCTGCCTCTCTATATATCTGTCTGTGTCTACCTCTCTGTATGTGTTTGCTTCTCTGACTGTGTGTGTGTCTGTGTGTGTCTGTCTGTGTGTCCTGTTTGCGTCTGCCTCTCTGTGTGTCTGTCTGTCTGTCTAGGCAGGTGTACGAGGCCTATCGTAATGGTAAAGTGGAGGAGGCCATGTCTTTTGGCTTCCTCTTCTTCCTCTTCAGTGGAGACGTGACCAGTTTTGCAGGCTGTTACCTCACCAGCCAGCTGCCTATTCAGGTAAACATACACATCACACTCACTCTCTGTTGTTTAGACCTTTACATTATGTTTGTGTTTGTGCTGCAAACTCACTTGTTTGTGTTCTTTGGTGATGGTAGTCACTAATAGATGGCCATCACATATTTAATCCATCCATCCATTATCTACACTGCTTATCCTTTTGAGGATCACAAGGGTGAGTAGTGGTTAGGTCACCAGTGTGTCACAGGCATAAACAACCATTCATACTATGGTCATTTTAGAGGCCTCCTATGATTTTGGACTTTGGATAAACACGGGGAGAACTTACAAACTCCACACATGTACATATTTACAGAAGGGCCTTGCTTTTTAACCTATTTCACTTGGAGCTCACTTATTTAAAATAATGTAAACCACATATTGCTTTATTAGTTTATCTGACACCAGATCTGGATGAAGTATTTTTTTTATAGCACAAGGTTCATTAGGTTGGTTGAACTGAAAATGACTTGATCCACTCTGTTCAATAGTACTGCAGCTACAGTCACTAGAGCTGTTTTCAGACATAAAGAGCTCCAGACTTTTCCTTTCACATGAACAATGCAGCGGGAGATTCTCCTTTATCTCTCTTCGTTCACAACAGCAACAGGTGCATCAGGCAGAGACATCTCCTTTCCTCCCTTGCCATCTTCATCTGTGTTTCTACGTGTATGTCAGTGCTGTTGTCTATAATTTATTTCGCTTGTGGGTCTACTCCAGAGTTTCTGCAGACCTTATTCTTGGGGGCCAGGTGGAGAAAGTCCACAGAAACTCCTAAGGCTCTCACATGGACATTTACATGCACACATTCAACCCCTGCAAAGAAACTCCAGAGGATCTTTGGAGTTCAGTGCATATCGATATATCAGATTTTGCAGGCTATATTGCACATTGGATAATTTACTCTTCCACCACACAAATGTGATCCACATTTTTATTTTCCATCTCTTTTTCTCTCTCCATCTTTGATGCTCTCTCAGGTTGTGACAGTGGTGTTCTACATCTTCACTGATGTGATCCTCATCTCCCAGTTCCTGTACTATAAGATAAAGAACAGCTCCAGCAGAAGTAAGCCCTAATATTATCTCTCATGTAGATTAAAGAGGTGGCGAGTGATGCCCGTGCTTTGTGAGTCAAAGACATAAATATTGTGATTATAGCTTTACTGTGACTGTTCAACAACTTGATAATTACTGTTTATGAAACCTACTGTATGAAACTATTGCCACTGAACAGAGCTGTATTCCTGAGATTAATATGTTTCCGATCCTCATGTTAATAGGTTCGCTCACTGAAATGCTAAACCAGGTTAAAGATCATTTTGAAATGGTATCTACATTTGAGAGGGAGTATATCAGAGCAGAGACTCGTGTTCATTCCGTATATTAGTCAGTAGATGAATCGTTTCTTCTTTAAGATAATTCATCAGAATGAATCAAGATTGTTTGTTCATGTAATTGTTCATGAATGTTTTTTAAGAAATTACTATTACTATTACTTGTTTTAAACGTGCATATCAATATCCATTAATGGCTGGACATCAAATCATAGGTTCATCACAACACTTATTGGCTGACTTCTGAGATGACAGTTCCAGTTTTTATGAACCTGTCAGCCCAGTTCATGCTTCTGTTACCACCAGAGCCAAAAGAGCTTAATGCCCGGGGCCTTTCAGCAGCACACAAGTCTGCATATAAAGGATATTATAGCTCTGTGATTGCAGACTTTGTTATTGGCTATTTTGATGTCATTGATACAGAAAGATAAAACACAAGGCGTCAACACTGAGTATAGAACTTGCAGCTTAAAGTCATCTAATGCAAACAGTTCAATTTTCTTGTGTCTTCACTGTCAGATCTTCATTTAGTGTGTGTTTGTCGTCTAGAGAGCCCTGTGCTGAAGTGGCTGTGCTTCACGTGGTGTGTTGCTGCTACATTAGTCCTCCTGGCTTTACCCAAGCTCATCATTGACAATAGTGCCAATTTAGACACCCAGGTAGGTGTGGAGTTTATGTTGTCAATCGTGCTGTTTCTTGTCAAGGTGGAACATTTTGACCCTTTAATGGCTCTTCCCCTCCCTCTGTCTCCTCATCATCCTCAGAGTCCAGCTGCCTCTAAATCAGTTGAAATCACTGGCTATGTATGTGGGTACCTGGCATCTGTCTTCTACCTCTGCTCCCGTTTCCCCCAGCTCTATAAAAATGTAAGTGACTATTTGTTTGTTTGACTCGGTCAAGATGTGGAGTCTGTTTTCATGGTTTGCGTGTGAGCTGTGCCGTCCTGATGGGAGACAGCTTCCCCTGGCTCCCATCCCAGGGGTTCCATTGAAAACTAAACTTATTACATGTCAATAAGTCATAAAGTCGTAATTAATACCAGGCAGTGAAGACAATTGAGCTGTTGTACAGCAGAAACATCCTGGCTCAGAAGCAGATAATAATCGCCACAGGGAGTTGTCTCAGTAGGCTGATAGTCCAAGAGGAACTTCACACACACACACACACACACAATTGTAAATTACTAAGTCAGATGTACCCTAGGGAAATGTTTGCGTGTTCAGACATGTTTGTTCTTCAGCAGAAAGCCCAAAACATTTGCACCGTATCATTTCTGTGACATGATACTCATCCAGGTAGTAAATATATAGAATATTCACATGTTGCCAAGCAACGTCTCAGCATTTCACAGGGTTTGTGACAGATACATGCTCATCTACTTTGTCAGAGGAATAGTTTAATGCCAAGAAGTGAAAGACTAGTGATTGTGTTTTTCAGGTACAGTGACAGAACGTGCCTTGTGTTATCTGTACTTAGTGACACTCCATCCTCAAATGTTATTTCATAGACACAAGTTGTTAATTTTTTTATCAGGCAAGGACCTGGCAAAATGGAAAAATTCGGGCGACTTCCTCATGTTTGTCCCTGGAATAATTGGACATGTATCTTTTATTTACATTACTACCTCCTTATATGAAAGAACACAGGAGAAATGTGTCAGAAGGATATTGGACAAGTATTTAAATGTTTTCACCATATCAATACAGAATAGTCATTTTAAAATGATCGCAATAAAAAGTCTCATTCTTTAATCCTGTTATGCTGGTCTAATCTGTCTGGAGGGCAAGTAGACAGAAAACAAACAGGAACCGGTTTTCATTTTACACTGACTGGTGTTTCACATGTGCCCATCTGAAGAGAAGGCTTATGTTGCTGTTGATGGTTTGTCATTAAAATGCTGTAAACTTTATTCAATTTAGTTCCGGCGACAGTCCACGGAGGGGACCTCTTACCTGTTGTTCGCCCTGGCCATGATGGGCAATGGGACGTACGGGTTGAGCGTCATCGTGGTGCTACCTGCGCTGAAGGGCTCCAAACAGACGTTCATCATTAAACATCTGGCCTGGCTCATTGGCAGCCTGGGAGTCCTCATACTGGACTTCTTTGTATCCTTTAAGTCACAAGCTCATAATCATCACCTGATAAAACCTGAATGTGGTCAAATCTTCCTTCAACAGTGTAGTTGTCTTGAATCCTTGCTCACATCTTTAATTTTTACATCCAGGCGTAAATATTGCTTTTTATGTCCTTGTATGGAATGGTAACTGTACTTACAGATGATAACTTATTATACATATCACATGAGCAAGAATAAATAGCATCCGCGCAGTGCAACTTAGCAGCAGGCAGACACAGAAATGAATGCTATTTTTCTGGTAGGGCAGTATATATTTAAGTGTCTCACATGCCAACTCAATGATGCCACCATTGCTTTTTCTGCTGTGATTTCAGAATCTTCTAGTGGAACACGCAAGTAACAAGCATAATACACATGTAATACACATAATACATAACTTCAGTAGTAAAGGAAGTATATGTTATTAGTGTTTTGATATGATCCTTAACCTTATCAGGTAACTGCCCAGTTCATCGTGTACAGAAAAAACCACCCTGCCAAAAGCAAAAAGCTGCTCAGCGTCCCAGAGGTGGAGCCTCTTCTGTGTGAGGAGGAGGAACTGTCCGTGTTATAGGACACAGTACGGACACCGACATTGTCAACAACTGACTGGTTAGTCTGTGTTTTGTTTTGGATCATTCGTTTGGGGTCTGTCTGGTCATTGATTTAGTCACAGAAAACATATGTTGCAGAAGCATTTTGAAAATGAGGAACCAGTGGAGCCAGCAGGTGACTGCACGGCATCCTTCCTGTTGAATTCTGTTTATAGGACACACACATGTTCATCACTGTAGTTAACGTTGTTATTAATAAGTAATAATCAGGTCATGGTGTTTTTCTCATCACATCACAGGTCAAGTTACACTACGCACCACTTTATTAAAATGTAAGTTAACATTTAAGACCGATGTGTTAGCATCACTTCAATCTTTATCTTATTATGAGCACATTTTGGATTAACTATACCTTTGGGACTTCTTGACCTTGTTTTGATGGAATAACTGAATTTTTATTTGCCACTGGAGAGCAAACCCAAAGGAGGAAGCTTGATGCAAGATTCATGGTAGAACAAAGTGCCTGTACACGTTTTGACAAGGTAAATACGACTGTAGGAGATTGGACAAGGATTTTTTCCCCCTCATCTTATTTGGTGTTTTAGTGATGTAAGATATAGGAACCAACACTGATGCTTTTTATGTGGAGTTGACAAATAGTTTGTGTGCTCCTGGTTTTCTTTTCTGCATGGTTAACTGTGGCTGACAGGAAATTGTCATAATCAAAATATTAGCTCACTAGACTTATGCTTTCAATGCATTAGAAATGGACAGAATATAGATGTGTACAGGGGCAATGCCTCTGCTTTGCCTCTTTCAAAGGGATCATCTCTGTTTTCCTAAGAAAGACTTGCTGCTTTTTATAAGCTGAATATAGTCTTAATATAAATGCACTGTATATATATTTGTGTATGTGTAGCAGGTTGCATTAACTTTTTTAAGTTTCCTCGTAATGGCGTTTTCTAAGACATTACTATTCAACAATGATAGATCTTAAAATGGGAACATCATTATGATTTTATGAAGCCTCAAAATGTTTGTATTCTGTCATAAGGTTTAAAACAAGGAGCTCATGTCAAGTCTGACTTTCTTTTCTTTTTAACTACCCTCCAATGTTAGCTTCATTAAAGAGTAATACTTAAGAAATAGATGATGACAATAAAGGGGAGAAAAAGACAAATGAGAACAAGTAGTTGTTACATTGATGAGCAGTTAGAGCAAATATGGATTTAGATAATTCATTAAACTAATGGCTGCTCAAATTTTGTGACACAGTGTGTGTGAAGTGGTGTCACAGTTTAAACAACCATTGAACTAACATACTGTACCTGCAGAGATCTGCAGATTCCTCTACCTCATTATTCTATGGACATGTTTATTACTCCCAGCGTTCCATTGTGAGCTGGCCTGAAATTTGGGCACTTTGCTCCTGAAAATTAATTTAGTGTTAAATTTAATTAGAAAATTCTAATTTATTTAATAATATTGACACTGCTGTTTCAGTTATGAAATATACATTCCTTAGTGTCATCATAATAAACCTGAGCAACATTACTGACCATTTTCTAATCTTAGGCAGAGACGCAATTATGTGAATTGTTGTAAATTCTATAGAATTTGTCAAGACTTTGTTTACTAATTAATTTTTTTCTGTAGCAAATCCAGTTCTGCAAATTATTTTTGTATTGCACGATTTATACTTTAATACCCTCTGAATGAGTCTGATGTACTTTTTCAATCCAGAACAAACAATTCCCTATTTATTGAATATATTACCACTATAAACTATGCTGCATTTATAATACTGTAGTTTAATGGTGACACTGATGTAATGATGTATTTATTTTCTTATAACATGTTTTTACAGATGTGTGCACATGAACAAATACATTGTAATTCTGAGCTCTGCCATGATGTTTCGTGACAATGTCCTCGAACTGAGAAAAACACAAACGTTAACTGTATGTAGCCTATATTGAACAAAAGTTGAATAAACTGGAATAAGCCCTCAGCTATGATATCTGACTGTTGATTTCATGTGAAGATAAAGGGAACATGGACACACAAAAAATAGCATGTATTATCTGCTCATTTTAACATATATTCAAGTTATAAGTATGACTTTTTACACTTTCCACAAACTTTCACCTTGAAAAAGGCTGGAAAAAGTTGTTTAGTTTGTCCAGTCTGAGCTACTGTAAAAAAACATGGCGGCCTCCGAGGAGAGTACCCGCTCCTGATGTAAATATAAAGTATTTAAACATAAAGGACTTTTACATTTAAAATATTACACACGCGTGGACTCGGATTACTTAATGTCACATTTCTGCCAATAGATCCCTCTCACATAAATCTTGCACACTGGACCTTTAAGTGGAATGGGGTTCATGTGTTGTTTTACATCACACCCTTGTGGAATTTATTTTCTCCATCTCTGTTTAGAAAACAACAACAACAACAAGTCTCTAACCCCCACCCCCACCCCCCCACCCTCACTTCCCAGCTACTTTTTTTTGACGGAGTTCCGTGGCAACCAATCGCTGAGAGGTTTAGCAGTGAGGGTGGGAGCCGGGGCGGGACTTCCTGTGGGGCTGCAGTGGGATGGCAGCAGGCAGCTGCGGGGCTGACACGTATCTGAAGTTAAAGGTGCTCTGGAGGCCGCGTCGAGGACTTGGAGGGGTTTTATTTTTTTATTCCCCCATTGTCTTGTTTCAACAACGTCGGGAAAGTGAAAGTGTGGCAGCGGGGCACAGAGGAGCCGTCACCCCCGGGGTGAGCTGCGTTAGAGCCGCCGGAGTTTGACGTGAAGTCTGGAGAAAATCTGAGCGGCTACTTTGAAGTTCCAGGAGAGGGTCGATCAGCGGCTGAAAGTATGTCCACCACCGGGGGAAGTACCACCGTGTAACCCGTGTTGTTGCTGCCCGGGAATGCTCGGGAAGTGAGGGGAGAGAGAGGTGGGTGGGCGCGTTCCAGTTTTCACCGGGAGGTAAAAAGAAAAAAAAAGAAAGAAAAAGTTGAGTCGGGAAGTTTCCAGCAGTAGAGACGGGGCTTTCTCTCGCAGACAGCGGGGAGCGCTGCGGGTCCAACATGGGGAACGGGGTGTGCTCCCGGCGGCAACGCAGGATCTTCCAGTGCCTGCTGCTGCTCACCGTGATCTGCGGGATGATGTACGGGGGCATGATGTCCTATGAGATGCACAAGCAGCTGAGGAGGACCGAGGCGACGGCGCTGAAGTACCAGCAGCATCAGGAGTCCCTGTCGGCTCAGCTCCAAGGTAAACACGGCGAAGTGTGATGTGATTGACCGGTGCTCGGTCTGCACGCAGGTGACGAGGTGAGCGTGGGAACTCGTGAGTGCAGCGCCAGACGCCGATAACAGAACTGCGGTTTCAAAAGTTTGCGTAGTCGCTTTCAAACGCCCATCCTTCGTAAAGTCAACACGAGTCCTTTTATCAGTTCATTACGAACCACGGGTTAGTTCGGCGGCCATTGAGACGTTACTCTCGTTTGAAAGTTGAAACTGTGTCACATGAAAAGCTTTGTTGTGATTTGTCTGTGTGCCAAAGGTTAACAGGGCGATGATATACCAAGGGCCAGTCTTTGACCTCTGACCTCAGGTGGCTTTCTAATCCTGTGATAAACCAGCAGGTTAAGGTCTGAGCAGATTACTCCAGGGTGTTGGGATTTAGCCGGACATGTCTGCCCTCTGCATAGATCTACTGTAAAGAGAATGACATTTAATGAAACAAGTGGAGTTTACTGCAGGCCGGAGAGGCTTACACACACACACACACACACACACACACACACACACGTCCTTGTTAGGACTTTGCATTGACTTCCCTTTATTGTAAACAATCTAACCAAAACCTTAATTTAACCTAACCCACAATTTGCATATTAACCAGGACTTCAGCAATGACAATTTGCCTCATTGGGACCAGGCTGCTGAGGTCTACTGGTCCTGGCAAGGTCAGTGTTTCTGCTGGAAAAGGTCCTAAAGAGGTCCTAAAAAATGAGTACACACACACACCTGGTTGTAGTGGCTGTGTCCCCAGGCTCACCTTAACAGTATACCCATTATTATACTTTGAAGTCATGAGGTGAGCCAGCACATCTGCTTCTTCAGCTGGGATGTCAAGAAGGAAAGGGAGCACACTCACCTCAGTTGGATGTAGAGCCTGGCGAAACATAATGTTATATATAGTTTAAACCTTTAAAGTCTTAAAATAGGTTTTAGAGCTGGGTTCTGCACTGCCCTGCCAATCTCTAGAGGCCATATCATCATCTACCTGTTAACAGCAAAGACCTTATTACTTAAATAAATATAAATATATACATAGTAGAAAGTATGTAAATCATCAATAAGAGCAACAACAAACATTGGAGGCTGTGAGTGTGCGTGCGTGTCACCAGCCCTCAGAGGAGAACAACTTACCGGTTGGTTTGTTTGATTTTTTTTCCCCTTGTTATGTCTCTGTCTGAGTTAGCTAGCTCGCTCGATGTACTAATAAACAAAGGGATTGTTCAATAGAAATTGTGGGATTTGGTATTTGACATATGGACTTAACTACAACTACCAAGTAAAATAGTAATGCGTCATCGATTCACCTCACACACATGCAATTACACAATCCCCTCATATCACAGTCCACACACACAAGTAGCTTTGGTTATATCACAGAGGTGCTCCAGTGGTAAATTCGTCCATCACTTTTTGTTTATGTCAGTGTAGACAAAATTCAAACACCTTTCTTTTATTAAAAAAATATTTTAAAAAATCTATTCAACCATGTCATACTACATCATAAAACACTAATAACAAACAGCAGGAAAAATACATGTTGGGCAGCACAGTATGTTCCAGGCCTTTATTTTTAATTCTAGCAGTGTATCTGTTAGAGATTATTTATTTATATATTGTAAAGATTTGTTGGCACAGTCACTAGTTATTTAGTAACAAATTAAGAAACATAATAAGTTACAGTAAAAACCACATTAACACACAAAGCTCCACAGACATTGACTGATCTGTTTGCTTTTTTGCCGTGTGTGGTGAACAGTGTCACACCCACCATTTACAGTATTTGGCTATTAAAAATCTAACTAGAGGAAATTCTTACACACCACACCTCTACCAAAGATTAGAGTCCTGTCCTAGAGTAACCTTGGTGATTTACTCCCGCCCCATAAAGACTCATAAACACACTATGATCTGCGGACAGGATGTGAGGTTTTGTGTCATGCCATTATGCCCTTGGTTTAAAATGAACAGCTGGGCTGAGGATCCACTCCTACATGACTTCATCTCTTTCTGAACAAAGTGTGTGGTCACATCAGGGGGTCAGAGAGTGTGTTGGTGTTTTAGCCCAGACCTGATAATTTAATTCAGCATTTGATCCACCTAATTGTAGTTATCTCAAGCTCACCATCCACAGCTGGGTCCAGCAGTATGCCTCATAGTGTTGTCCTCTAGCTTTCTACTCATCAGATGTGTGTAACCACATGCACAGATTTAGGCCTTATGTTTGTTTTGTCATCATGTGAAACATCCGGTGACAAATTTGAATTGTTAAAGGTAAATTAAACTTCACAGGGTTGTTGTGAATAGCTGCGAGTTTCCATGTAGGCAGCCCTATATGAGAAAAGGGAACTTTTCCTCCATTACAGAAAGTCCCTCACATACTTTTTATAATGTAGATATCTTAGACAAAGGTCACGAGGCTAAGCTCTCAGTCAGTTCCAGGTCAACTGCATACAATTGGCTTCTATTTCGTTTTTCAAAAGATGCACTAAATCTGCTATATTTAGAGCATGACATTGTAATGTGACACTTCGAAGAAAGCGATAGCGTTTAACCCCATTCACATCGAATTCAATACCACGCCCATACTTTTATTGTGAAGCAATGGACCATTCAGCCAATCACAGGGTCTAACCCATTCAACATCCATTGGCCGACAGTTGATTGTAGTTTTTCCTGTCCTATATTTCGAGGTGGGCCATAGCTTTGGGGTTGTGAGATGGATGTATTGATTCGCTGTTGCCCACTATAACCAGAGGCCGGCAGTTGTAAGTCATTTAAAAGCATCGACTGGCACTTTGTGGTTGTGCCTGCACTCTGACAAATGTGTCCCCATGATTTAACACCCATTCACTCCCTCACACACAATCATACAAACACTCACACACACTCACAAAGACACAGTGTGCTGTTGGCAAAAACATGAATCAAACACAATAACTGCAGCAGGCTCAAAATAGTATATCATCAACACTTTTGTCTCCTTCTGTTTATTGTAATAACCATGCTCATGTAAATGTTATGGTCTGTTTTTCTTCAGGGGATAAAAGGAAGTAATACTTTTGTTTCTTAAATGAACTGCATTTATCTTGTGATTACCTAGTCTTTATGACCGCTCATGAAGTGCTTGAAATTACAGATCATATTCACCCATTCACACAAACATGTTCATGCAGCATTTGCAATACGCTGAGCATTGTCTAAAACTCATACACCCGTCTTACAATGCTGGCACAGCAGTCAGTGGCATTTTGCTCAAAAGACAGTTTAACATGCGGACTAGGGGAGCCTGGAATCAAACCACAGAACATCCCATTAGTGTACGAGTGGCTCTTTACCTCCTCTCTACCCCCGAAGCCACAGTTAGAAATGCACTCTGTTCCTGGATTAAACCAAAGTATTGGACCTGATTTGGGATTTGGTATTTCCTGATAAAAATGAAAAAGTTAGACGTTGTCATGCTGAGTGTCTTCCAAACTCTAATCCCAAAGAAATGAGCAATAAAAACATGAGATGTGACTTGAAACCAAAATAAATCAAGTCACATCAGAAGACATTACTCTGCACATTCCGAATATAAAGCTGTAGTTTATGTAAAATAGCGCAGGTAAAAACCTATTCTTCAATCTGTTTCTGGGATTTTGTTACATCAGTGGGTTCCAGGGGACTGATGTCAGGATGCAGATCAGACCACTGTCTCCATACTACTTCTCTTAGGGTATAAATCTATCTGTCCCTCAACTCTTCAACCTTCATCTAGTATATTTGGTCCATGACAGGAGGTCAGTTTCTTACCAGGTTATCAACTCTCTGAGATGTCTCAAATTAACTGAGTCACAATTTAAAGAAAAAAGACTTAACACCACTCACAACCACCTTTTGTCTAATTTACACGTTACAATGTATAATTTCTGGGTATAAAGGTTCCTATGTGGTCAATGTTTAGTAGAAGATAGAAGGAACGCTGCAATACAAGGGAAATTTGAAACTTCCAATACTTTTCACTGGAAGCTTTACGCAAGTAGTCCCCTGTGTGTGTGTGTGTGTGTGTGTGTGTGTGTGTGTGTGTGTGTGTGTGAGTGAGTGCGTGTGTGTGTGTGTGTGTGTGTGTTCGGTAGTACAGTGGCTGTATGAATGAGAGCACACATACACATACAAACCAACCACAGACAAATCCTGGAGCCCATTTGATAGTGTTCACAGTGCATGCCCCAGCCAACTCTAACCAATCCAATCTTTCTACATCTAAGCTAGTAGACCAGTAAAGGTCACCGCCAAAAGAACTCCCTTGTTCTCGCTCTGCTGATGCACTTTAACCGCACTGTGAGGGAAATGTTTCATTTGTCTGAGCCCGAAACAATAATGCAAATTGAAGTTTGAACAACATAAGGACAGGTGTACTAACCAGTGTTTTGAAGGTTTTCCTTTGTGGGATGGTAGACCCTTTGTACAGTATGCGTGGGTTGAGCTGCACCTTGAAAAGCTGTCGTTTGTTTCTCTTCTTTTCTGGTACGGCAGTCAGAAGAAAGTGGCAAAGAAGTGAAGGACGACTCATACACAAAACAAAAGAATATTAAGACTGTAGGCAAAATTCAAACTCCTGAAACATACAATTCCCTTAAAAAACATTTTCCAAACTCTGCTTTCCACATATTTAGAAATCAGCAGAAGATGGTCCATGCAGATGTGTTCGAAACAACATTCAGGCGAGGGCTTCTGGGTAGAGCATGCAGAGGCATCATCATGTGTTTTTGTTAACAGCACATCGACACCATCGTTTTTTAGTTTTGTGTCTGTTGCATGTTAGAAAGGTGATCAACATGCACACGCACTTGCTGTGAGTTTTCTGGACATTTCCTGCTGTATTCTCACAAGGGCTCACCAATATATTACAAGGGGGCTGGCAGGAAAAGTTCCATAAAACATATGGAGCATCAGACTTCAATCGATCAATCGATGTCTGAAAGCAGCTTATTTGAATATGTTCTGTTATATTGATTTATTTTGAGCTGGGTTGATGAAATCGACTCTAAGGCAATCTCTCGTTTTGGGTTTGTACTTAGTTTAATAATGGAATGCTTTGAAAATGACTAAAGTAAAATACAATGCAGTTTAATATTTCAATTCATCACTTCAAAATCTTTGCTCTTTAACCTTATTAAATGTTTCCTTGTAGAAATATTAGTGAGTTTTAATAATTTAGAAGCACAAATGACATGCGTTTTTACACTGTAGTTCCTTTGTAGCTGTTGCCCAACTTGTCCATGTTGTCCCCTAGAGAGAGGGTGTGTGTGTGTGTGGTGTGGCCAGAGCTGAGCAAAGAGCAACATGGCCTCATCTACTGAGACGCCACAGAACCTCAGACAAGCAGAATAAAACCTCACTAATGTGATGTCACTGGACGTCTCTCTGATCAGGATCACAGGAAAGGAAGAATTTGGACTTTGTCGGATTTCACCCATTTCATAGGGATTCAATCAGAGTGCATCAGGTTTTTCTAAGGCTTTCATATGAATTTAGATTATGAACATGACAAAGGCTCATAAAACCCTGAGAAGTGGTCACTGCAGCGAACACTGATAGCCTCTCTGTCAGTGTTAGTGTGTCAGAACTAGTTACAAAGTTCAAGTTAAACATATTGTTCGCTCTGCCAAGGAGGTTATGTCTCCGCCTCTGTCCATTGATTTGCATTGGTTGTTTTGTTTGTCAGCTAGATTATGCAAAAACTACTAAAGCAATAATTCATGGATCTAAATGAAAAATATCAGACATATTTAGAGAACTGATACCCATGAGCGTGCAGCTTGATTTTAAAGGGACTGTAGGGTTTTGGCAGTATGCACTCTGTGACATTCTTCCAATATTTTATCAGTAAATCCACTGGTATGACCAGTTGAGTAAATTTGATGAAATTACAATTTTCATTTGTCAAAATGTGTTTTGCAAAAAACTGCAAATATGACAATTGAAAGTGTTAATATAAATGGCATCAGACAGTAAAAACTAAAGGCCTGAAATCTTTGGAAAGCTGTACCTTTTTATATACTGAAGAACATATACTGTACATGTTTACTCTAATATAGCATAATAGTAGTAATAGTTATAGTAATAGTGGTGTGTAGACGATGGCAGATGTTTGAGAAAGCAATTAACCTCTGACGTTAAAATGTTTTGCTGGACGGTGTCACGGTTGAAGAGCGTGTTTGTTTTATTCCAGAGGAAGAGAGAGAAAGATGTTTTCTATGAATAGAGGCCAACATTTTTTTTATTAAATAACAATATATTCAAACAGACTTCATAGCTTAGTTGTTTGTGCTGTATAAGCTTGGATAACTACAAATTACTTTACCAAGTCTGCCGTCTCAGCATGTTATTTTGGTTTGTGTATTTCCATGACTGCCTCTCTCCCTTCAGTCTTTCCTGGTTTTCTGCCTGTGTCATTGTTTCGCTCTTTTATTTATTTTCATTTTTGGTTGCTTATTCTCTGTGCCGACATCTGCTTCTCTTTTCTTCACTCGTTCTCTCCCTTCTTCTTCTCAGCTTTATTATCGTCGTGAAATTCTAACAACGTTGTTCTGGGTAGCAAAACAGTAAAAGTTTATCCTGGAGTCTGTTGAGTTGGCGCTTGAAAAGGAAGAAAAGCCACATCATCAGTTTGACCTGCCATTACACCCAGGTCAGGAGAGAGAAAATGTGACAGAGAGGAAGAAGTTTCAACCTTTGTCCTCTCCTTCATGCTGAAGTGATTTGTAGAACAAATTAACTGAGATTAATATGGCAAATCATTTACTGTTACTTAACTGTTACTATCAAATAAATGTCACTCTTTCCTCTCAGTAAATGCTGTGTCAATACTGTGTAGTGTCCCGTACGACGCTGCCAACTCACAGATTTAGCCAGTAATCGGGGGATGGAGGCGAGGTAACAAGGTCCTGATGATACACACTATAGTATAACTTGCAGGGGGTAAATGAAATACTTTATGAATCCATATTATGTTTCTTGGTTATTTTTCCTTTCAAAAGACTTCTCCTGAAGAGCCTGGAAGGCCTCGTTTGCTTTCTTGTCTTCTTTCCTTAAAGCGTCTACTTCACTAATTAACAAGTTATATTCTCATCTATTCGCTAGTTTGGCTCACATTGATAGAGCATAGCCAACGCAATGGCTACAGTTGTGTTAAAGCTAATCAGGAAGTCTCTGAAAAACAGGTATGACGTTTCTGAAACACAGTTCAAGATGTTTCTCAATCCGAGAGTGTGCTGATATGCAGTCTTGAAAGAGACACGTAGCCTGTTAAAATCTGAGGAGTTAGAGTTAGAGTTGAAATAAGAATTCCTATTTCATATCAGTAATATGTATAGTCTTGTTCTGCTTTAGGTGGTTATTACTTGAATCCCCCTTTTGAATACATATAGGTCATAAACCCAGTCTCCTCTATGTTATTGGATGGAGCATGGACTAAAAGGTCAAAGTGCATGTCAAATAAGTTCCTCTCAAAGATTGTTTCTGTCATTTTAGGTATTTTCATCACAATGATTCTTCTTCAAGTGTTAATTTTTGTTACGTTTTAATTAATACTACAATAACGGGTTGAAATGTCATGATTGACAGCTGAGACTGACTTGTGATTGGTCCATTGTGTGTATCAGCAGGACCTTGTTACCGCAGCTACATTCCCTGATTACTGGCACCAAATATGTGAGTTGGCAGTGTTATCCAGGATGTTTTGGCTTTATTTTTGTCAGTGGGAGGAAGTGGAAACACTTCATACATTTTTATATGCAGTTTATGTCCATCACGTATTCATTTGTTGCATTGTTTGTGTGTTGTATCAGCTATCATGCTGTTTTCTGTTATTTCCAACCTGTAACTTGTATCTTACTGCCTAGTGGACCAAATTCCCCACAGGGATTATTTCTGCTTAGTTGTAATTTAATCTTGAATCAGATCAAGGTAAAAAATAATGGAGGAAATATTTTTTTTTAGTTTGAGACCGAGTCTGAGTAGTTTGGAGAGGACAGAAAGTAGAAGTGTTTCTAAAAATAAAAAGAGGATCTCCATCCAAATTAAGAGGCATAATAGAGCTTCTGGGTTAGTGAGGGACATGTTGGACTATTTTATCATATCAATTTAGTCCTTCCTGAAAAACTTATTTGACTTAAGCCACCAGGCACAGCAGCCTGAGACAAAGTATTTGTAAATCACCACAGATGTGAGGAATACCACAGCTTTCTGTCGACGGAGGAGCCGTCGTGTCCCTGAGATCAATGTGGCTGAATAAATATCACACTGCGCTCTTATATCAACCATAATATGCATATCCTGTCTCAGGCTCTGCTCTCTCTATAATTGATCTTTAAATTGGAGTGAGTGCATATATTATTGCAATTGTTTATTGCTATTGCAGCTTTCTTTTTGTCTAGTTTTCCGTAAAACAAGAGGTCTATGTTTTATTCCTTTATTCATCCCCTCCATCTGTGTCTTTTATGTGTAGTTGTGTATGAGCATCGCTCCAGGTTGGAGAAATCTCTGCAGAAGGAGAGGTTAGACCACAAAAAGGCCAAAGAAGGTGAGAAAAATAACATCTATTCTCTATTTTGGACTCTAGTGGTACATCTGTATGTAAAGGACCTTTGGGGAATTCATCATACCTCAAACTGTGACTGCATATCATGTGATGGTAGAATAAATATCAGGTTGCTCTACATGCTTAAAATATTTGATTGTATTATCATATTTAACTTTGGATAAAGGCATCAGCTAAATAGATATGAGTGAATTGTTGAACAGTGAACCTTACTTTACATTTGTTAAAGTTACGTAAAATAAGATTGATCTGTTCTGTTTTCTAGATTATCTGGTTTATAAACTTGATGCACAACAGTCACTGAACAAGGAGAAGGTATGTTTTGTACATAATTACCATTTCTTTAATTCATCTGTACATCTATACAACTTTGCAACAGCGACGCAAATTAACTGCATAAAATAACAACTACTTCAGGAGCTTATAATGTATCATAGTGCTTTTGGATATTTCTAGCATTTTTAAGGATCTACTTTGTCCAAAGTCTTCTTTGTTTGTAAACTTCTGTACTTATTGGATTAGTTTATTATCTTTGACAGGAGTTGAGTCGCCTGTTGCTTACCTCTTGCTTCAAGTCAGCTCCATCACATCCTTTTAAAGACAAAAATAACTGAAAAATGTCAAAAGACAAATATATTAAATGAATTGACAGATATATTTTATATCAGACTGGACAGAAGAGGAAGTTATTGTTGTTCATCTTCTACTACTACTGCTTCAAAATATCAAAAACACATATTCTGATTGGTTGTGATTGGACATGTCGGAAGTGAAACCTCGGAAAAATCAACCTATGTCCAACAAAATAAAAGCTGCAATATCATACAGCAAAAAAACCATGCTGATATGAAAGCTTGCATTGACTGGATATAGACAGGAAAAATATTAATTGCACGAAAAAAACCTATCTAGTTTGCAAAGGCCTTAATTCTTTAGGGTTAACATTTTAGCTGTTTCTCATCTGGTTTGTAAACGTTTCTGCTTGTGTTGCTGTGTGAGACGTTTGAAAGAGCTTTGTGCTGTAACTGACACGACCAGCTTGAATTCACCTCTTCTCTATTATCTGTTGTAACTGTAACCACAAACACGCTTTGTTGAGTTTTGTAACCTTTTGTCTTTATGTTAAAACAGCAAGACTCCAGCAGCAGATTCAATTCTTTACAAGTGCAACATCAGATGTTAAAGGTATGACATTACCAACACTGACACAGATATCCTCTGTCATTTAAACACACTCTCGCAGACTTCACAGCTGCATCCTTCCTCTTTTATTAGTTAGGAAGTCAATGCCTGGTTGGGGGAAGGGTCTGTTTTTCATTCATGATTGATGATTCAGTGATTTTATTATGAGGAGAAAATCAAACCCATATGATGACAGTGGATTTATTTTGTCCTCTTTCAGAACCAGCATGACGACCTGAAGAAGCTGTATTACGACCTGCAGGAGCAGCACCAAACGCAGGGCGAGGACCACGGCCGGCTGCTGGACGAACACAAAGAGCGCTACGAGAAGCTGCAGCAAATCAAAGACGTAGAAGTCACCCAACTCAAAGGTGCAGTCTTCCGTCTTTATGTAGTGGTGTCATCATCATTTACTTTGTCTCCATCTTCTGATTGTAACAAGTACTGCAGGTCTTAAACCAAATGTTTTATATGCAGCCCTTTAGATCTAGAAAAGTAAGCACTGTATTATGCCCTTTCAGTACGTGGTAAATAAGCACCAAGCTTTACAGAAAACTGTTGTATTTCATTTTCCATACTGCTAAAGATACGTGAACACAAGTGGATCCAGGGTTTGTAACTTGAGTCATAGGGATAAAAAAGCAGTCGAAAAGAATAGAGTAGTAAAAAAAAGTTTAGGATTAAATAAACAACCAATATATATATAAGGGTTCATAAAAGTACAGCGTATAGAGAGGCTGATTCGGGCTACATCCATACTACTACATTATCATTTAAAAAGTATTAGCTCTGCTACGGATACGCCTGGCATCCAAACTTTCTTTTTTGTTTGAAAACTGCAGCAAAGTGTTTAAGTCTGGAACTGAGATATTTGGAAACGATGACATAGACACTTACAAGTGCTTAATGATTGGATCTTTTTGGTCATGTCTTGGCCTTCACTGAGGCTCTCATCACATGACCCCCTTCCAGAAAAAAAACCAAAAAACAGCATTAGCCTCAGAGCTGTGCATGGCTCCCTACGTGTCTGCCTTGGTGGAGCTGTGTGCACTCTGGTTCTGTGCCTGGCGCCATGCATGGCTTACTGGGTGTCTGCACCAGTCACATGGTCTTGCTCTCTCTTGCTTTCTCTCTTACTCATGTCTACATACTCTCAACCAGATGAGCTTACAGGTACCGAAAATTGGCATTGGCGATTGGTGTGAATCGGTACCAAACCCTAATGGACGGGGATTAAAATTGGAGCCAAAGTGCTTGTGTGGTCAGAGCTCATTTTAGTTTGAAAATCCTGTTTTCAAATAAAAAACATAGCATGGATGTAACCTCCTGAATTTGAGGGAAGAGGAGCAGTGTTTGCTGACAGGAGGAATTCCTTAATCCAAGTGCAGGTGGAAGGGGGGAGATATTGCTCTTGTTGCATGTGTTTGTTTTGTTGGTTGAGTTGCAAACTTTCTGTTGATGTGTTTTTCATTCTGCAGATAATGTATTTAACCTGAGGGAGGAAAACAAACAGCTGAGGAAGGCCCACCATGACATTCATGTACAGCTACAGGACGTACAGGTGAGAACAGACTCTGGCAGGTGATATAACATCTGACCCCTCTCATGATTTTGAAGAATATCAGCTTTTGCTTTCAAGCAGAAGACTGAACAGTGTGTGTCTTTGTGTGTGTGTTCAGATTCAGCATCAGGACTTGAAGGCAGTGCACAACCAGCTGACACTGACACTCGAAGACCACAAGAGTGCGCTGGCTGCAGCTCAGGTAGGAGCAGGCATCAGAGAGATGCAGTCTCATTGTTCACTGCAGTCTGTGAATACTGATTGATGCAGAATATCTGCTTTCAGTCACAGAGGAAATAATAGACAATAAGTTGAATTGAGAGATAAACGATTTATGTTTAATTCAAATGTAACATAGTTTTTTTTAGCATGTTAGCAGAGAAGATACAAAAACCAGGGCAGAATAATTGGAGAAAAAATGGCTTATTTGGTTATGTTGAACATTATATGTCACTTATCTGATTGAACCCTCCTTTATTTATGATATGCACCCAGTTGTGTAAGTTCTGTACTTTCATCACGTCCCCAGAGCAGCTGAAACATCCTCCTCTCTCCTCTGCAGTCCTCTCAGCTGTAACTTTACTTTAACCCTCCCTGTAAAGCTGAGATGTTTATTGCAGTGAATTGTAAAATCACTAGCAAGAAGACAGGAAAACAGATTCCTGATGAGTTGCTTGTTTTTTTGTTGTTGTTTTTTTTGATCGATCAGATGTTGCAGTTTCTCCTTGGAAGTGATCTTTGAAATGCCTGAATGGTTTATTGAATGTACAGTACTCGGTCAAATCCCTTATTATCTTCCTTTCTGTCTCCATTCATGGATTTTCACTGACTCTCCTCTCGTTTCCGCTCTCTCTCTGTCTGCAATTGCTAATTTGTTTTAAGGCCTATGCAGCTTTTCATTAGAGCTTCCAGTTGGATGGGCACAATTTACGAACATACACACACACACACACACACACACACACACACACACGCACACACACACATGCACACACACGCACATACACAAAACTCTTTCCATCACTCCAGGGGTTTTGTTTATTCAGGGCTGTCAGAGCAGTACATCTAAAGGACGTTGCAGCCAATCAGCCGGAAGGATATAATGGAGGGACTGGAGCGAGACGAAAAAGAGAGGAGGAATTTAAGAAAGAATTTTTTTAATTTAACGATGTGGCCTGGTTACAAAGTACTGGTTTGTGTGTATGTGCTGTATAAAAGCATGGTGTCATTTAATGTTTTACTACCGTGGAGGATATGGTCTGTTCGAAGAGAAATGTTTGTTTCACCTCAGGAAAAAAGTGTTTTTAAGTCTAATTAAAAATGTTTCGTGTGTAGATACATTTGTAGGTGTAGAGTTTATGTTGGCGTAATGTAATGTTTCTTTTTATCAGGCATCATATGTATTCAAATGTTAAAATAATCCCCAGCGCTATCTTTTTTGGTCCTCGAGGCTCACACAGAGAAGAAATTATAGTACTATTTCAATGGAGTCAGTTTTTCTGAACTGCAATAAATACTTTTTAGAAAAGTTATCAATACATCTCTGACTGATTGGTTTAAATCCGTTATAAGCTTTTTAAACAACTTAACAACTGGTTGTGAGTAATCTTGGTCAGTAATCTGGAGTAATCTTGGTCAATTCTTAAACTAAAGTATTATCTTACTTTCTAATCAATCATCTAGTCAACAGTTCTTCAGTTGAAAATAAGAGAGCGTTATTGGTCTATCTGCTTTCTATCTGAGACACAGCCAAAGCCAACAGTTTATTATAATAGTTAATAACTGATCTGTAAAACATTGGTCAATTATTTAACACATTCATTAAATTACAACCTAAACTCTTTTAAAAAGTTAGTGTACAGTGGTACCAGACTTAGAAACACTCCCTCATGTTTCCCTCTCTAACGGTTGTGAGTGTTGTTCCCTTTAGGTACAGGTGGATGAGTACAAGCAGCTGAAGGAGTCCCTCATCAAGGCGCCCATCTTGAGACAACCTCAGCCAAAATCTGTCCCCCAGGAACTAAAGGCAGATGCACCTAAATCCCACATCTATCAAGAGCAGCAGGCTGTGACACATGAAGAGGAGCCAGCCCCTGAAACTCACCCGGCCCACCATGACACGGTAACATAAAAGTCTTTGGTATCACTTTACTACAAGGTCAAAGGGTATATAAAAAATATAAAAGAACACTGATCGATAAATGTACCTTTCCCTCACCGAAATCAAGCACCGCCCCACTGAACCTCAAAACGCCTTGTCAAACAAACAGGAGGATGATGGAGAGGGAGAGGCAGAGAGGAAGAGGGAGCTGGCAGAGGAGGAGATGGCTCAAGCAGGACAGCCTCAGAAGCTTGAGGAGGACCCCGACCAACCACAGGATGATCAGCAGGAGGTAGAGGAGCCGGAACAGGAACAGCCAGATGAGAACGCACTGGATCAACTGAGACATCAGCCACAACCGGTCAGAATTCGTCTAGATTAATTTAGTCTTAAACAGTTTAAACTGGCCTTACACGATATTTCCTGTATATCTTGATTAGAGTAGCTGTTGAGTGATTTTCAACTTTAAGACCATGTAGGTCCTTGTGAAATCAGGGACACAGCTACTGCTCAAATTTTAGTGCTGATCATTAAAGGGGAATTGTGATATTTTTTACGTCAGCCCTTTGTTTAAAAATGTGGCTGTGTAATTAATGGAGCTCACAATATTTTGGAATTTGTCCAGTAGATTGCCTCTGCTTGCAAACACGACCCATTGGCAGTGGCTACAATGTAATGTTATGGGCCAACTGTGACTCTCTCTCTTTGAAGGAGCTCTCCGTCTGTATACTGCGGCTCAAACAAGTCATGACAGGAATCCAAGTTGAAATTTTCCATTTCAGAAAAAGATTCAGCCACAATAGTTTCTTTCAGTCAAATCCAAAACTCCTCTCTTTAACTCTCTTTCTCATGCATCTTTCCTTCTCCACCTTCCTGCAGCAAATCTCACGAGACCTGACAGTGAGATTTCTTATTGAGTGAGGCATGTTTAATGTGGCCAAATCTAAGCAAAGACACAGAATAACAATTTCATTGGTAAAAAAAAAAAACATTTCGATTACTGTCACACTTTCCCCATAAGATTACATCACCATTCATTTACACACCCACATTTACAAACATAAGGTGCAGGTTATAGAACCAGAATGAATTACAACCAGTGTTTGATTCCTGGCAGTTTGCTCATTGTGTTGTGTTCATTGTTTTATACCGTTATTTTCATCTCCTGAACCTCATCTAAGGATGAATTATATCATTATGCTCATGTTTGTCTCCAATCAGCAGCAAATTAGTGTTTCATTTTTCTTCATCTGTTTTTCATCTCAAAGGATCCCCATGCAGAGGTGCACCAGGACTCCCAGCTGCAGCCCGATGCGCACGCCCAGGTGGCGCGAGTGAAGTCTGCGTACGAACAGCAGCAGGAGCAGCAGCGCCTGGAGGCTCAGAGGGTAGAGGAGAGCAGGCAGATCCATGTGCGACAGGAGGCCCTGCGAGTTCAGAGGAAGAAGGTGATGATGGAGAGGGAGCAGCGGCTGAAGGAGGAGAAGGAGAGAGAGCAGCAGCAGCACAGGGAGGCCGACAGACGCGAACAGCTGCTGAGAGAGGAGCACCAAAGGTCAGGTCTCAAATCAGCTGGAAGACATTTGCCCAAATGACACAAAAACATACTTCCACATTTAACCTATCAGTCCTGATTATTTCAGTTTTATTTGTCCAGCTTTTAGGCTATTTCAGTTATCCTCCCCTGACTGCTAGAAGGAAGGATGCCAAAGCCATTACATTTGGCATTGATTAACCCCAGCAAATAAAATCTCCCTCCCACAAACTTTGTTTATTATAATTCACTGTAATGTTTCCACTCACCAAACTAATGAGTCTCATGATGATGCTCTTAATAAACCAAAGGCTCAGAGAATGGGAAAGACAAAAACTGCAATATGGCAAGCAGTCAATTTTCCAACTCTTTATAGTTAGCATGTATGTTTCTTTTCTGATGTGGCTTCTAGAGCCTGTGCCCCTCTGACTGTCACTGTTGTCATTAGGAAGAAGACAGAGTATGAGAACATGGACAATGACATTGTTGAAGGAGAAGAGGACCGGCACACTGACGATGAAGAGGGTGAGACAGTAATTGTACCGATAATGAAATAGACAGATTGCTAAATGATTACGTCATATGAAGTACGCAGTGTGAAATGCTCTCTGAAATAATTTTGTCAGAGTCTGAGCTCAGAGTCGCTGTTTGCTCATTGTGTGTGTGTGTAAACAGAGGGAGATGCTCATAAGCTACATGAGGGGGAGGACAAAGAAGGAGCAGATCACAGAGTGCCATCACAACAGGTGAATATCCATCCATCCATCCTGTTCACTCCATCTGTTTATCAGCCGTCCATCATTTCAGTTCCTTCACTCCTTAATTATTTTTAATAATTTAATTAAACATTTACGTTACATCATCCCAAGGAGCTGTTTGTGAGAATGCAAATGTTCCAGTCAGCTGCTGTGGACATTTTTCTGAACTTTTCCTGAAAGCCCCCTAGTGGCATGTACAGAAAATGTCTGAGTGAGCCAATGTGAGAGAAAGAAATTGTCCACTTGGAAAGACACAGGCCTCAAGAGCTTTTAGTGATAAGGGCTGACACCAGTTCAATGTGCTGTAAACAAAAACACATGATCTCCACAGCAGAATTTTTATTTTGTGTCCCTCCTCCTGCATGTCCTAACCCAGGAAAATGTCCAAACCCAATTTTGGACATATTCAGTTACTATGAAATCTTATGCACCTTTTCACTTATTACTATCGTGCACATATCAACCCACCTTTACCATATCGATTGTATCTCTTCCTCATTTTTTATCTCTTCCTGTGAAGGGGGACGGAGATGGTGAGCTGGACCCTGAGGATGACCCCAACAACCAGGGCGAGGATGAGTTTGAGGAGGCCGGGGATGAGCGGCCTCAGCACAGGGTGACAGAGGAGGAAGAGGAGGTGGTAGATGAGGAAGAGGAGCAGGCAGCACCAGCACAGCATGCAGACGCACACCCTGGCCCTAAACAGCCGGCTGTGGAGGAGGAACTGGTGGTGAGTATGTTTTCAGGGAAGAATGAGACAAGAGACAGTTGGAGAGGTTGTGTAGGAAGTGTCTGAACTTGTGTGTGTTTTGTGTGTTCAGATGGCTGGAAACCCAGATCAACAGGAAGATACGCTGGACGACCAGTATCAGGAGGAAGTAGAGGACGAGGTCTGTAATACACACAGTCAGGTGCACATTTTACATACTGACAGAAGGGTTAGGGAGAGAAAATAACAAACGACAAGCAGGAAAAGGCAGATTTAACACCAAACACTACACAAATATGTATAACAGGTCCCAGAACTTTTGTTTTTTATTTCTTACTCTTAAAATCAGTCAAGCATTGAACTCTCTCTCTTGTTGCTGCTGCTCTAAAGGCCCAGGAGGACATCGTTGGTGGGCAGAAGAGAGAAGAGGAGGGGGAGGATGAAGGAGAGGATCCGTATAACGAGGAGAACATAGATCAAGTAGGTTCTTCTGTGGAGAACCTGTCAGCGAGTCTCTGGCCTCTTCTCCAAACATTCACACTTCTTAACTCCTGCTTTTATTCCCACATCTCAAATTGGTATTGATTTTTTTTCTTTTCTCTTAAACGTATTAAAAATATGCGTCCAAGGTGCTCAGGCAGTTTCTCTGAAATGCACCCCATCCCTGGCTTTACAAGTATAGTTAGCAGTGCGCTGTCCAGCACCTAGCGGCAATTAGTGGAACTGCATCCCAACAACCTCCACAGTTTAACATTCTGCTGAGTTGTGTTGTGGTTCAGGCAGACAGGTGCTGTGCATCCAATAATAATTCATTCACATTTCTACAGCCTGACTGAGGAGTCTCATTTTATTATCTAGGCCTTATCCCAGCTATTGAAGAACAGTTACAGCAAAAAGCAGCCGTTAAATGTTTTGGTGGTCCATCTGGAAATATTCACTGCTCTGATGTTTTAGCTTTAGTACAGGGATTTGTGTGTGTGTATGTGTGTGTGTGTTTGCATATCTGTGTGTCGTCCCTGTAACTTGAAGCAGGCCTCATGTGTGTCCTGGTAAATGAGGGAGATCAGGTAGAGAGTCCTCAAGTATCATGTTTCCACCTGAGCCTGGACTATTCAATTTGACCTAAGAGGGAATCTGTTTGATCGGAGGAGCTCACACATATTTTTTGATTGCAAAAACTATAAAACTGGTTTATATTGAATATTGTTTAAACGTATAATATTTAACAATAATATTAAAATGTCTAAAAACAGCTTCAACAATGTTATATATATTGTTGACTTGTGTACTGACATCATCCAAAATGCTCCCAACAATGTTCAAAGCCAGAGAAATCCTTTGCTTTGATTAACTTCTGCAGCAAATGACTGGAGAAGGAAAAACTAACTGGTAATGGATCACCATTATTCATTGCCGTTTACTTATATAAAACTATAAAATAAAACTTTAAAACATTTACTCATCTATGAACATGATTTTTTGGCTGAGTCACATGAGGTAGATTTTTTTTATCAGCAATGGCGGTGATGACAACATCTCCCATGATCCCTTGCTGCGTCACAACGTCATCAAACTAGATTCTTTGTTACTGTTTTGATTGAGTGGCTGAAGTTACATTTTGTACTTGTACATCTTTCTTGTTTGATTGTGTTGGTTGTGATATTGTTTTAAGTTTTATCAAAGATGTGTAACTAAAATGAGTAAAACAAATTTGCAGATGTTGATGAAACAAGTGGTTTTAGTTCAATTAAGTTCATGTGTATCGCCGTCCCCCCTTCTTTAATGGACTTGTCGTCACATGTAATTTGAGCTTAGTGAAGCTTCCACTTTATTCAGCTCCATTCATGCATGGCTGCACAGTCGACCTGGCAGACGAGTCCCAGGTGAACCTCTTATACAAATGTCTCTGCTCTCATTTATTTACAAGAGAATTACACTCCCGTGTGTTACAGTGCTGTAGACAGAGAAAACATTCAAACACTCACTGTCCTGGTGCAGAGTCACAAAACCTACATCTTTGTTAGTTTGCCTTTATACTTGAAGTCAGACGATCATAATGCAAAAACGGGAGCGTGAGACTAAATGGTAAAGATGAAGACAAATAATATTTCATCATTTGGTGCGAAACAAATGTTGAATCATTTTGCTTTGTGCTCGTGATTTGCTGCAGGAGGAAGTAAAACACCAGGAGGGTCCGAGAAACGAGGGGAATCACAGAAAAGACGCTGAGAACGAGGAAGATAATTACGAAGAGGAAGAGGAGGTCGAGGAGGACACAGCTGGTCGTGACAAGGGAACCAATCGGAGGGCGGAGATGTAGGACAGACGCAGACTTGAACCAGCTGCAGTGCCTCTTCTGTCCGCCCGTACAGCCTATCAGGTCTGTCCTTCTCTTGTTTCTCAAAGGAATAATCGCAGCCATTCATCCAGAATTCCACTTAGGAAAACTGGGAATTTGTGCCTGGAGGACGGGAGGCGATTCCAAACACTGTGGGGTTGGAACTGATCAGCTCATACTGTGGAAACGGACAGAATCTTTTGGACGGAAATTGGATGTATACTGAATATGTTTTCCTTTCTTTTCTGTCTTCTCACACGTCTGCCTGATCGCCTGTCTGGTTCTGTGACAGACAGAGAATGTATTTTTATCACGTGCTGTCTTTTGTATAAAGAAACCAAAACAAAGTATGTTATTCTAAGGCTTTTATACAGGTTGTTTGTTTTAGCTCAGATTTTATTTTCTAGCATTCCAGTCGATCGAGTCATTTCCTGTTATTTATTGTTCATCGTAACTCTGACAATCGTGAAACGTTTTGCCCCTGACTGAAGGGCTTTTATCGACTTCTTGATGCTTGAATGTTTCCACTGGATATTTCACACAGTTCTGGTGAAGCAATTTTGTGTCACTCTGACATGTAAGTGCCTTTCCATTCTGGGAAACTCTTGGTCTTTTTACATTTTTACATTTGGTAAATCATTTCAATAGGACAGCCAGTTAGTGCTAAAACAAAAACTGCAGATTGCTTCAGTGTGGCCTTAAAGGAGCAGGGGAGCTGTTTCATGTTGACTGCTGGTGTGAATAAAATTCACAAAATCTGATGCAATGTAATGCAACATCTTTAGTCTACTGTACAATGTATAGTAAAACAAATGCTGACAATTTGTATGTTTCTCTCTGCCGGTTACATTTGATACAAAGTCGTTGGACTGTATGAAATCGTGTTTGTCACTTGGATGGTGTGTGGAATAAAGAGGCTGAAGGATGTCAGGTAACTGTAATTGTGTTCTCTCTCCTCTTTTCAGATGTTTATATATCTCAAATTGGGTACAAATATTCATTTGGACTCAAGGATGATGTGATTAGATTTTGGTGGTCAAAGGTCACGGTGAACTCACAAAGCACAGTTTTTTGCCTTGTGAAGGTGATGTCTGTGTAATCCTTCACATTCGGCACAAGTCACTTGGACTCAAGGATTAACTTGATTTTAGTAGCCAAAGGTCAAAGGTCTTGGTGGCCTCACAAAGTATGTTTATATATTTTTTTAACATGATATCACTTAGACTTAAAGGTGAACTGATTAGATTTTGGTGCTGGAGGTCAAAGGTCAAGGTCACAGTGACCTGAGAATGTGATATATTCGGACTGTTTGAAGGAATTCCTTCAACGTTTGATTGTAAAGATAAAGTGATTATGTTTCAGGGTTCAAAAGTCACAGTGATATGTAGAAATGTGTACACAGACACTGCACCGGTTGGTGGAGGCATATAACCGCAGTGTGGTGATTCTAGTTCTATTATTTAATTATTGTTTGAAGGTTCAAGATCAATACTTAAAATTACACCAGCACATTTTTCAGTTTCACCTTTTAGCTTTTCATATTCAATTTAATTTAGCTTTTTTCATGAAAAAAATTTAATTGTGTTTTGTATCATTTCTACAAACAAATTCCAAACGTTCCACACTAAGTGGCTTGGATGCTCTACTAATGCTGATTCCTGCAATGACCATTCAAAAGATAGCTGAGCATTGCAGCAAGCTCACTCTCGACTTCAGCTGCGTGCGATTGTTCTGACAAATCTGTTTTCAAATAGACGAGATGATCATGAATATGTATCAAGCAGGAAGAGAAAGATCATAAATATTCATTGTTGAGTTTAGATATCCTGGGCACTAACACTGGTCCTTATATCTGCTCTGTCTGGTGGAGGTGAGAGGATTGTGGGTGAAACCTGCTCACAAGGGAAAGTGAAATGAAAATCATTGCCGAGAGCAGCGATTTCCTCTCATGAACATTTGTCCCCAGCAAACACTCTCTCTTTCCGTCAGACTCTTTTCTCTCCAACTCATTTACTATCCTGTTCTTTTCCTCCATTTCTTCCCTCACCATCTTTCTTCCTCTCTCTAATTCTACCTCTGTCATCTTCCCTCTGCTGCTGTGAGAATGTTGATCACCTCCAGAGCCACTGGTGGAGGAGAGCAACAGGTGTCTCATTACTGTGTCAATAGAAGACGCACATTTGTACAGCAACGGCGGTGACTCCTCACATCCCTCACATTTCCACGCTCACTCCGTCGTCACTTCACTGCTGAATTACCAGGCGTGAATCATTTTAACATGTTCGCCTGCAGCCAGAGTCTATCTAGAGACACGTGCCCACACAACTGCCACTGATCCTCAAACCTGCCAGTGTGAGATTTACTTTAAAGTCGAAGCTCCGAGCTACGACAAGATCCTTTATTTCACACCCACGAACTTTGGAAAACAAACTCAAACCCTCCTGCTTTTCTGCCACGCAGGAGATGTGAACGTTAAAATGTGCCACTCAGATAAATCACAACATCCTGAGATCATCAGTTAAAGACAGCAGCTTCTCTTCTTGACCTGGATCCTGTTTGCAGAACATGAGGATCCTGCGAGCTCATTATACTGTCTCTCTGCAGTGTGCATCAGCCAGAGACTCTCACTTTCTCCACACACACACACACACACACACACACACACATACACACACACAATTGTACAAGCAATCCTCCACACTTAAACAATTCCCAATGAGGCATGTAACTGCTAGTTTGTGCCCGGCTGTGTGCTTGTTAGAGAGATATCAGCTGCCTAAGATGTGTTTCTCCGCATTACTGTGCGCAAAGCGAAGGCACAAGCTGTTAGTGTGTGTTTGTGCGCCCGGGTTTATGCTTTGGGCGCCCGCGTGGGAGCATATTCGTACCTGTTGTGTTTTTGCGATATCAGATAACAAAGTGTGTTTATGTTTCAGGTGCTGGCTGAATATGAAACCATTATTAAAGGATGATACACCGCTGCAGTGTATGAATAAATCAGCTGCAGCGTACAGAAGGGTGCAGTGTGTCTGTGTGTAACCCCTGCAGCACTACGCCATGTATCATTACAGTGTATATATATATATATATATATATATATATATATATATATATATACACGATATCTTTATTCTTTTATCCAATGCACTTTGCAGGAACATGAGTGTACATGCTTTTAATAGGGATTAAATCCTGCCCCTGAGTGCTATGGATTACTCTTTGTGTTGTGTGTCTTGTTTGTGTGACCTGCTCCATGAGGCTTACGGATCATTGCCCAGTCAGTCAGAGGACACAAGAGGCCATTACCCCGCAGAGCCTGGACACTAAATGTTTGATGAGGCTGCAGAGCGGATGTCCTGTTTCTCTCCTCATATTATTACACATGTAGAGCAGAGTAAACACTCAGTTATTACTCACTAACATGTACATATACGTCTTTGATGGAAGCTGCATTTTAAGTGGGTCTGATTGAGAATGATTCCACCCCAGAAACACAGTTGAATCTGAGTGTGTGTGTGTGTGTGTGTGTGTGTGTGTGTGTGTGTGTAGCAGTGTGTGTGTAGCAGTGTGTAGCAGAGAGACGTTTGTGTCTGTGAAGTCCTGAGAGATGTTGAGTTGGCAGAGATGACTCATGTAGCAATCTGATCAGCCTCCGCTCTTTTTCCCTCCATCAAAGCCAACATGTGTCATAATCATTGAATATGTGTCTCTGTACTAGAGCCCAACTAGTATGTCAAGCAATTGGCTGATAATAGCAGTATCGACATTCATGTTTCTTTACCGATATGAAAACATTTGATTTACAGAAAAAACAAGATACGAGCAGAAAATACGAGCACATTTCTTTGTATTTATTATCCAAGTTCCCCATAAAAAAGTTTAAAAAGTATATGATTAACATTTTATATAAAAACTTTTTATGTGGCCTTGGACCACATTACTATTATAGTGTCTTTTTACTGTGGCCATCAAAAGTGACTGTGGACGACAGTTGTAAATAACTGGATACCAGTTGTCTTCCTCCGTAGATCATTCAAACCTCAACGTGTGAAATACTGAAGCCTTGCCATCGCTTTGTAAACTGGGCTTGTAAGATCTGAGTCAGAATCCATCCATAGAAGAATGTCACAAAATGTTGCACATTCTGGTGGGTTCTGGGAAATGTAGTCTGGTGGGCAGAGAGTCTTCTGGCAACTTGGGGATTCCATCCAAGACTTCAAGCTTTGGCAAACAGGAGAAAACTCTGCACAGACACACGTAGAGAGAGAGTTATAATTAGAAAGGTGAAGAAGAAGACAAGAATGTCCTCTCTGCTCACCGTGCACGGTAGTCCTGAGTGAAGGTCACTGGGTTGTGGGTCAGGGTCAGGGAGCTCAGAGGGCTGTTCTCCAGAGCTCCCAGTCCCACCAGGGAGCCAATGGCGTTGTCAGACAAGCAAAGTTGCTCCACTGCTGGGAGCTTTGGCAGCTGACGCAGGCACACCAGGTGGTTACGGTGCAGGTTCAACATTTTGCACCTGCACAAACCAAACACAAATAGCACTTAGCTACTGACGTCCAAAATAATATTACATACGATGAAGTAGTAAAAAAAAGCCAAATGAATAATAGTTTCTATTCTTGGTGTTAGAAATAAAACTGGAAACCAAACAGTGGAACTGCATCTGACGAAACAATAGAGACATTAAAGGAAGAAATGGATTAGACGGAGAAAAAGAATGACTGGAATGAATAAAGAGAGGTAAGAGGAGACCTAACAGTGAGCGCAGAAACTTTACATTCTGCGTAATTATGTCTCGTAACCAGGGAAATAAAAAATTAAATTAGGACATATTACACAAAACAGAACAAAACAACAAAACAGATTCAAAGCGTACTCAAAAGGGAAAACATCCACATTCAACTTCAACTGTGATGTCAGGAATTCCATCGCTCAAAATCACATTTATTCTTGAATTCCCCTCGAAGAGAAGCCATTTAAAACTGTGAAGTGAGTTTCAAAAAGTTGGTGGAGCCTCACACACTGAAGAAAGAAGGTCATGTACATATATATATATGAAGCATGAAATCATCCATAACAATGATTTATAGATTCCTTTATCCTGTTCTTCATTTTTGCTAGAAGAATCTGAGTGAAGGAGGAGTTGTGGTGCAGTCTGGGTAATGCGGTTTGTACCTTGGCAGACGTACAGAACTCAGGTTGGTGAGGGAGTTGTCCACCAGCTGCAGTTTCTCCACGCGGATCAACCTCCGCAGGATCCGCAGGAAATTCTCTCTCTGGAAGGGATCGCCCAGGTTCTGATATGACAGATTCAACTCCTGAGAAGAGAGAGAGAGTCTTTCTTTCTTTCTTCCGCCCTGTGTCCTTCTCTGTTTCTCCTCCTGTACTGTACATCTTTAATGCCCCAGACACACACACACACACACACACACACACACACACACACACACAGACACACACTGACGCTTGCTAACTTACCAGACAGTTTTCCCAGTTTTCCTGCAGCCTTTCCTCCCATCTCTGTCCTTCATCCTCTCTCCTCCTCCTCCTTGTCCATCTCTCCACAGGGACGTCATCCCCCTCTCTTTGAAACAGCTCCTCCTCTGATGGTCCTTTGTAAAGTTGTAAAAACAAAGAGTTTTATATTCAAGTCACCATCATCCGTCTAGTGAAAAAGTTATTCGTCTTAAAGTTTTAACAGTTTGAATTCTTTGTCACAGTCTCATTTCTTGAATACTTAAGAACCAACTTCCCAATAACTAGTTGTGAGAATTATTTAAACTAAATTTTTAGAGCTAATATTCTCAAACAAGAAGAAGCCTCTCTATTTTATTATACCAGAGATAGATAGATAGATAGATAGATAGATAGATAGATAGATAGATAGATAGATAGATAGATAGATAGATAGATAGATAGATAGATGGATAGATAGATGGATAGATAGATGGATACACCCCTCCATTTATGTTAGACACAGTCTTTTCTCATGCTACACAGAGCATCTATTGCACGTCTGTCCGTCCTGGGGGAGGGATCCCTCACTTCTGCCTCACTGTGTTTCTACTTTTTTCCTTCCCGGTTAGAATTTTCTTTCTTACAGTTTCCCCTCACTCCAGTCGAGGGTTAAGAACAGAGGATGTTGTATCCTGTTCAGCAAATTGCAATTTGTGACAATGAGCTTTTTAATTAAAACTAGATTGATTTGATCACTTTTCGCTTCCTTCTGTTCCATCTAATCCAGCGTTACTGCATCAAACACGGAACAAACAGAGACTGATCAAAGTGTAAAACCTCACTCACACTTCTCCTCCTGATCACGCACCTTCTCTGACCCTGGGGCAGGTCAGCTGGTCGCCTGTGACATCACACTGCTCCAGGCGATGCCACGACACGAACCGGAACCGACTTGATGGAAGCTAACAGACGAAGAAGAAGAAGAACTATAATCAAAATCTAACCATTACAATATATTTTACATGAAACATGTACAGTCAGTACTGGAGTCGTGTCTGTCTCCCCAAGTTTAATGTTAATTTACACCGTGGCTTCCTTCTCCTCCTGTTCAGGTGTGTGTGTGTGTGTGTGTGTGTGTGTGTGTGTGTGTGTGTGTGTGTGTTTGTGTGTGTGTGGGCGGGGCTTCCCCAGCAGGTTCCATGGCACACCTGCTTGTCATCACCTCATCACCTGCAGTATATAAACCCTGCCTCTCCGTCCTCTCATCTCCACGTTATTCCGTCAGCTTCAGTGATGGTGATCTTGTGACTTATTAGCTCTGATGTTTTGTTCTCCTTTTGCAAGTTTCTTTCTGAGTCTTTACTTTTTACTAACTGCTGTTCTCTGCTCCTTCCTGTTTCCTGCCTGCCTTTACAAACTCCCGTACAGACTCCCCTCGACCACTGAGCCTCCACCATTACCACCTCCTGACCTCGGCCTGGTTTCCCAATAATTCAGCACGGTCAAAGAACTCTTCATACTTGTGATTTAAAACAGAGATGTACACAGGAAGTGCGTGAGAGAACAAGAGACACTAGAGTTTAATGAACTGTAGCTTCTCATCAGTGTAATATTAACTCTGTTCCCTCAGCAGACAATACGTAGACAAAATCACAGGGTCATTTTAAAGACCATTAACTTTTACTGCTACATGTGTTAGCAAAGTGAGAGTATTCAGTTTCATAAACTGTTTTAACCTTCTCGTCTGTTTTGAATCTGTCTTTCTTGGCTTTATTCTTCCATCATCATGATTCTGTCCTGTTTTATTGATTTTATTAGAACAGACTTATTGTTTAGACTTTTTTAACCTTTGTGAATCTTTCTGTCGTTATTATTTTAATGTTATTTGCTTTGTTTATTATCTTGGATTTGTGTTTCTTTAGTTCATTATGTCCTGTTTTACTTTGAAACTTCTTTCCTTGTGTGTGTCTCTTACTTTACTTCCTCTGTCTGACTCGTAAGATTTTCATGTGGTGTCGGAATAATCTGTCAACATGTCAAATATTACTTTTTTAGTCTCTTGCAGATTGTGTGTCCATCTCTCAAGCTCCTAACAGCACTTTTTAGCCAATCCGGCCTTTTTGTATGATTAACGTGGACACATTGTTAATTATTTACATACCTGTAACACCGGATCCTTTTTCTTTGCCCTTCATTATTATGCAAATATTGGTATTGTTTAAATGCTCTAAACATAAATATGACACATTATGTTATAGCGTCTGCATTTTTAACACATTCCGACTTGAACAATGGAGTCGAACAACAACCTTCTGAGGAGCACATGAAGGCAGCGTGGCATCAGAAAATATAGGCCATTTAAAAAAAAATGATTTGTGTCTCAAACTTAAAGGAATTTGAAAAGTACAATTTACAGTCAGTTACCACAGAGGGTGGTGGATCACTGTCTTGACCTTTTCAAGCACCTCACAAACATCCTGTTCACCCTGAGTAATCCTACACCTCCCGGTTGATTGAGACATACAGTGAGAATGACCCCACTTCACTTCACCACTGAGCTCATTGGCTGAACTCACACAAACAACCACAGGCCACAAAACAAAACAAGAATAAGATCCATACTGTAAGATGACCTGCAAATAATCAGAACAGAATATGTGGATACTTTCATATATACTCTGTTTTTTATTGTGGGTTAAGATGCTAAAATTCACATCATACTCTTGCACCAAGCCAAATAGTAATGTCTCAATTTTTAATTTAAAAAAACTTATAATCTGCAGTGCTAATGCTGCTTTTAGTTGAAACTGCCTTTTTTATTTAACATCTAATGCAAAGGGTTAAATACTAAAACAGAAGCACACATAAGCAATAAGAACAGCCCATAAGCAGGAGGCATCTTCTACTTTGTAATAACGCTCTTTATCCAGGATTTTAAGCGATACACGGAATTATTAGGACATGAGGGTATTTTTAACCACCAGTGGGGAGGATTAGGTAGGAAGCCATTTTTCATCTTTCTTTATTCAAATAGTCAAGAGGGTAAAAAAGAAAATCATTCTGCACACCAATCCAGCAGAGAGGCTAGTGGCCTGGGGGTAGAATAAAGAGCACAGAGTATAGACGGAGAATATTAGGTTCAGTTCAGAGAGGAGGGAGGGGGAGTGTGGAGAGGGAGTAATTGAAAGATTTGAAGATGAAAGGATGGAGAGAAAGAGGGGAGGACACAGGAGAGGTGCAGATGGAGGAGTCAAAGCTACATACATGAAGGGAGAGGAGGGAGCGCCTTGACAGAATGGTACTACAATGTATATCTTTGTGAGGACCATTTTGATAATAGGCCAGAGTGAGGACTGTTGGAGGGTTAACATCAGCAATTTACAATGAATTGTTCATGATCAAACTTAGGGATAAAGTTTTAGTTAGGCTGCTTACAATGAATGGACGTCAGTGCAAAGTGGGTTAGGGTTCAAATTCAATTTGATTCGATGTTTGAGATCTGCAGCTGCAGAGTTTGAGTGAGAGGGGAAATACAGGTGCCACCAAAGTGACTCAACCATTTAACTGTCCTCCTCACAGAGACATGTCACCTTCTCTGATTGCCCCTGCTCCGCACACCAGCGACAGAATGGTTGTGTGTGCTACTCACTGGTGTAGATACTAGTCCAGAATCAGGACTGTGGTCCACAGAGAGGGGTGTGCATGTAACACCGGGGTCCGAGTATTGGGATGAGTGGGATTTGGGGAGGCTACCGCTGAGAGTGTTCACACCTGAAGAACTGAGACGGAGACAAAAAGAGACGATGAGGACGGACAGGCTCACATCTCTGATCCCTGTTTGAAGAGTAATGTAAGCCCCGCTGTGTTTGTGTGTGTGTGTGTGTGCATGTGTGCATGTGTGTGCGTGTGTGTGTGTGTGTGTGTGTGGTTAGAGTTACAGTGAACTGGGCCTGACAATGCAGATTAGAACCCGTTGCCATGGCAGCAGAGGACACCTGAGCAGGTGCTATTAGCTTGTAATAGTCTCTGCATGCAGGGGGATAGCTGGACACTGCTACTTCTATAGCTCTAAACCTAAAGTCTATAGCTTTAATATGTGCTACATGTTCTGTGGTTTGCTACATAGTTAGCATAAAAAAGAATTCAATAAATAATGATTATATTTAAACTGTAATTGAATGCTTTAAAGCTTTGGGGCTAAGATAGGTAGACCTAGTTAGTTTAACTCAAACTCTAAAGCTAACCTCAGTGGTCATTTGACACGTGTAATGGGATTAAACTGGCAAACAGCACATACAGTCGAACACCGTATCTAATGTATTCATGCAGCCATGTTTGTTTTGGCTCACCTTTCTGACATGTCCCAATCGTCTTGTGATAAATTCTCCTAGCCTTCTTCGCTAACACATTAAGAATGGCTCGGTTTAGCCGTGTGCAGCTGTAGCTGTGACCCATGGAGCCCGCTGTGGTTGGCCGGCGCTGAGCAGAGAGAAGTTTGGCCGTGTTGTGGAGCAGGTGGAGCGGACACACTGACACCGGCCCCGCTGCTGCTGCTGCTGCAGGTGAGGAGCTGTGGGCTGGTCGCTAGGCTAACGGTTGCCGGGCAACAGTGTTCAGGTGTATCATACTTCTATTGAGCCTCAGTGAGAGAAAACTAATGTTCAGGTTAAAAAAACCTTGTTGCTGGAGGTTTTTGCCTTTAACCATAATTATGGATCTATAGAGGAGAAAACCTGGCCGATAGAAGATAATATTTTGCATTTATGAGTCTATTTCTCTATTTCTCCACCCTCCATTTGTTTATTCCATTACATTTTTATGACACTAAGATGGTCTGGATATACACTGCTCATTAAAATTAAGGGAACACTTAATGGTCACAGTATAACACCAGACCTGTTAAACTCCAAGGATATCAAAAGGCAAAAACAAGACAATCCCCCAAAAGGGAATGGTTTTACATGTGGTGTTCTGCTAGTGTCCTTGTCACCACCGGTGGCATGAGGTGGTACCTGCAGCCCAATCAGGTTGCACAGGTAGTCAGGCTCCTCAAGCTCCTTAGTGTGAGGAGGAGTCACTCCATGAGGGTGGCACGAGAATATCACCCATGATCCCTGGCTTCCTGAATCAGAAGAGCCGCCGCTGTAACAAACACACCAAACGTTCTTTATGTCTTATAAGTTTCCTCGCTGAATTTATGAGATAAACGCTGGATAGTAATAGCTTTAAAGTATTGTTGACTAATGTAGTTCAGTGTTACTCTTGAACTCCCTGGGTCCGTCAGTCAGTTCCACACTTGTACCAGCTCACCATAGATACATGGAGCAAGTAAGTTCAGAGTGAAGAATGAAATGAAAGCTGACACATTCTCCTTATTTCTAAATCAGTGGACCCTCGAGCCAAGTTCGAAGCTAAAACAAGTATCCTTTAAATGTATTAGATGGCCCAATTATTAATAAATACCTCATATAATGTAAATTAATGCCATTTATGAGGTGGGTGGAGAAAAAGTGTTTGTGTACTCTCGTTGGTTCTGCTTGATTGGTCGTCTCTTGTTATCGTGTGTAGGAGGAGAGATATGGCTGATTCAGACTTTCAGTGGCACACAATGAAGACATAAGGCGCCGCTATCATAGCAGCTGGTGAAAGTAATTTAGATTATAAATAACGTCCCACACCCACGGGCTGTCGTTCTTCTTCAGCGCCGCTCATTGTGCAGAAGATACTGCGGCACTGAAAAACACTGAAGTGATAAAAAAGCTATTAGATACTTGATAGAGGTAAATGAAAACCTTGGGAGCTGCAGGAGACGGTGCAAACGACCTCCTCTGACTTTGTGTAGAGGACGTAACTATCGGCTTATTTCAGGACTGAGTCATGATTTGCAGTCGTAAAATATAGTACATTTTTGCTTTTGTTGTTTTATATGAAAATTATTTCACTTGTTTTGCTGTTTTATAATCTGTGCAACAACCATGCCACAGATAAATAGTGTTTCTTTGAAACCCTCGCTGAAGATAGGGGAGACAGTTGTCACATCAAAGTGCCTCGATATGGGTTTTTTGTGCTTTTTGTGTTTTGCATTGAATAATGACACAAACATCTGCTGGGGATGTTGTGTAAAGTTTTATTTCCTAATATATTTATATAGTAATAACCACGGCAGTGCTGTGCAAGCAGCAATATGTCTGTTAGT